ACACCGCGCTGTGCCGGCAGCACCGCGCTCCACGCAGCAGGGCCACGCTGCTCAGCACCGCAACCGCGTCTCCGGAAGAAATGGCGAGAGCGACGGTACAGCCCTCGCGGCTCCACACACCCCGGGCATTCCAAGATGCTTCTTATCAGACGAAACCACCAGCCGACGTCTGGGCTCCGTGTTAGCTCAGGCTGTGTTAACAGCAGGTTTCTGTGTAAATACTGAGAATGGAATCGGACTGAAGCATGTCGCTGCTTCGATCTGCGGCCTGGAGCAGGCGGCACCATCGCTGCCTCCGTCCGAGGGCTCAGCTCGCCCTCTGCAGAAGGGGAACACTGCTCCTCAGTACGGGTCTCCCGAACGACCGCGAGCAAGAAGTTCAAGTGTGCAAAGCACTCTGACACTGAAGATTGCTGTGTAAAAAATACTGCAAGATTCTTACTCAGTAGTTAAGTAGAACGGAGGTCAGATGCAATCCTGAGAGGGCTCTGAAGCAGCCAGAATGTCAGCAGCCTTGGGCAGCAGGGTAAAAGCCCCAGAACACTCACTGCCCCCGCATCGGGCTCGGCTTTATCCCAAATGAATCCAACACTCCAGCGTGTGCTCATTGAGACTCACATGTAAATAAACTTGATTTCTAATGAACTCTACACGTAACTGCCATGTAAAAGCAAACCTAACTCTAACTCGTTAGAACAATAATTTTGTATTTACTTATCACTATCTCTTAAGGGAGAGGAACACTCATGGCAGCGTCCCGGGGTGGAGAAAGCCCTGTGGCCATCCAGCGAGCAGAAACCCGCAGACACAGCTCCAGTGCCTCCTCCTGACAGCAGGGAGCTTGCTCGGTACAGCAGGTGGAAGACATCCAGCAGCGTGGTGCCGGCAGGAGGAACGTGCTCAGCAGCAGGGGATCCTCTTCAGGAGTGCTCGGCGGGGCCTGCCCCGTGCCCGTTCACGTGCGGGTGCGATGGGGTTGAGCTCTGCGAGGGAGCAACGCTCTGCTCTGCCGCGGCAGCTGCCAGAGGGGGGGGAGAGGGAAAGGATGAGAGGAGCAAGACAGAAGCAAAGCATTAAGAAAATGGCAAAACAAACATTCGTGGATGTAAGGTCTGTGTTCAGAAATTCATCACAAGTCTTGTGACACTGGCCTTCCCTAAGCTACCCCTTAAGGGCTGGTCTTAAATCTCACGGGCCTGGCGAGGATCAGCATAGTTTTGGAGACACAGCGGCTGCAACAGACTGAAACAGGGGCTCAGCTCTCATCCAGACGCTGTAAGTCCCTGGAAAGATCTGGGCTGAAGTCCTGGCACCCCAAACACGGGAGTTCTGCTGACTGGAGTGAGGCAAGGGCCTCATCCATAATTATTTTACTTGGAGTTAGATCACAACCTGCCTGAAGAAAAAAATGGAAATCCTGCTCTAAATTTAAGTTCAGCAAAAATCTAGCACAATCGTTTTATGGCCTGTCCCTGCCATGATAAAGAAGAAACCTATTTGCACCTTTGGCCTTTCAAAAAAGTGCTCCACAGGTTTGGCTCTTCTGTCAAACCTCCCCAGCCTGATTATAAAGTACTGATGGCTCCTACTTTTTTCAGCAGAGCTGAGTGAAGAGTTCTTCTAAAAGCAGCTTGCTGGATTTGACCACTGCAGGCTACAGACCTGGGTGAATGAGCAGTGTGGCAAAGCAGTGGTTTTAAACAACTGGCCAATTCTTGCCTGTGCTCTGAGGAAAACACAATGCGGACGAGCCAAAACTAGAAACAAAAATGATGGAAGAAACCGTAACAAAACCAAACAAATTCCAAAGAGAGGAAGGAGCTGCACACACAAGAGAAAGTGAGTGCTGGAGCAGAAAGCAGCTTGCGTTCAGAGTAAAACAAACCCAATGGGTCAAGTGATTTTGTTGTTGCAGCTTTATTTACATTTTCACTGTATGGACTTGAATAGATGCCTTGATTTTAAGTGCAGAAATAGGAGACACTTCAAATTGCACAAACATGAAACGTGTTGAGATCTAACCCCACACTTGAGACAGCTCCTGTGATCTCAGAGGAGGGAGCAATGGAACATAAACGCAAGTTTGGGGTTTAGGATGAGAGAAGGCAAGCTGGACGTGGCGTTACCGCTTTGGGGAGCAAGCACACAAAGCACTAATTGCAAGCACCTATTTTTGAGCTCTTTTCTGGCAGCATCACCAAGCTGGTTTTGCAGCAGAAGTGAGAAGGCAGCGGATACAGGTTTTATATCTGGGGCCTTTGTAAAATCCCTTGGAAGATCACTCTTCCCTACAGCCCCCAACACAAAGTGAAGCTGGGTTCAATCAGAAAAGACCTTCAGGACGGAACCAGGACTACCACTCTTTTTCTGTCAGTCTTAGACCTGAGGCCATGGTTTCCATGGAGAACCGGGCCACAGCATCCACCACACCACATCCTGGCAGGTGAGTTACTAGGAAAATTTTAGCTGTGTCAGAAGCATAACTGCTTCTCCTGCTGCCCCAGTTAGAACAGTCCCAAAAGTCTAAGCTTCACCTTTCATGTAACACGCTTCAGAAGTCAGGGTGAACGAGCACTTACTGCATGCCCGTAACAGCACTGGCCACCTGCTACTCTGTCCTTTGACTGAGGGCTTCTCAGTGCGTGGAAGGGACTTCACTACTCTGCTCGGGGCATACAGCCAGGTCTGTGTGCAGAGGAACAGCTCTGCTTAACAGACACTGAAGGCAAAGATTCCTTCAGAACAATCAGCTTTAGTTTCAAGGACCTGCTTTCAGGTCTCCTCATCAAAACCCCCACGCACACATAAAAAGCCTGGCAACAAAACCTGAGGCACATCCTATTAGTTACCGAGTTGGACAGGGGCTGCCTCCTCAGCCCCTTCAGCACAATGGCAGTGACAGCCGCCGGGAGTGCCAGCAGCAGGGCAGGAGACACTTTCCTCCACAGGCTTTCCACAGCTGGCAGCAGCAGTGCACAGGGACGAAACGAGCTACCCAGCACAGGGCAGCTCTCGGCTTTGCAGCACCTGGAGGTGTGCTGCTGCAGGGAGCTTGCTTTTCTACAGCCTTCCCTGGAGGGACAACCTCAAACAAACTAAGCAGTGACCTTGAGGGGAACGGGAGCACGGGGGAGCAGTTCGGCAGGATGGCTGTGCAGAACCCACGTCCTGGCCTCACGGGACTGCACACCTCTGTAAATCTTGGGGGATCCAGAACCACGAGAAAGTAACAGATGGTGCAGAGAGGCAATCCCAGCTGGGCTCCCAGGCCAGCACAGAACGCCCGTTTGTGGGCAAACCAACTATTGCATTTACAGCCATTTAAACATGATTATCCCTCAAGATGATGTGACATAACAGAAACCCTTTCTCCCACATTAGACAATAAGGTTTCATTAAAAATATCTTCGTACTCTAATTATAAAAGGACTTTGAATAAATCACTGTTTCTATACTTACACAGACAATTTCTTTGGTGCAGAGAAAGACAGGAAAGAGCACAGGAAGGGAAAAAGTGCTAAAAGCAAACGACTAAGTGCTACGTGACAGGAGGTTTCAGTGGAGGGATCACAGCTCTGTAGAGCTGCCAAGTTTCGTCCCCTTTTGACCACTCTTACAAGAAAGAGAACAAAGGCAAATCCATTTGGTGTGTGCTAACGGTTGTGCTTAGGTATTAGTTCTGTTATGGAGGGTTGCTTGACACGGCATCAGGTGCCAGGCAGGTGAACAGACCATGCCAGCATGGTCAGAACACCTCAGTCCAAAAGTTAAAGCTACTGACACACAGTGGTGGCAGTCTGGTGACAGTGTGGGAGAAGTACGTCTGGCACACGTGAGGCACCATCACCCCACACCGCATCGCTTTGGATACAGCTCACTCCTATGCTGTGTGCAGCCTATGTAGGGGATGCACCCCTGACCTACCGGGGCCTGCACTGGTGCTTGGGCTTGCGACCATTGCTCTTCACTTCTATTTCCAGGATACCTTGCCAATCCCTCAAAAAACTGAGTAAAGTTTGAAAAACAACTCTAAACTTTTACCTCAAGTTTTCGTCCAATGTTGTAGCAGTTCCTATGTCATATAAATATCTTTTTATTCTTAAAATACATATATTACCCATAAATAATGGCCTAACTTCCAAAGATATTGAGCAATCAGGGTTTTAGTTGACTTAGCTGGAGTTACAGGCATTCAGCATTTTTAGAAAGAAGGGAAAGGCAAAAATAGAAAACATGGTCATTAAAATTATAAATAAGATTTCGAAAAGTTAAGTTTTGTTTAGAAATCATAGCCTTATTGCACTGACTTCACTTAGCTTGGACAGTGCAGCCAAAATAATCAGGTTCTCATGTGTCTTCTCCTGCTTTCATTTACTGCATCATCAACTAGAAGTGCTGGAGTGCATGACAGAAAATAAAATAAAAAAATAAAGTGTCTGAATTCCTTAAAGCCTGTTTTCTAAAATTATTTTAAAAATAGTAAAAATCCCACAAACAAATCCAGAAGTCTTCCATAGAAAATCCTATCACAATACTTCATGATTCAATGAAACTGAGCAAAGTCTTTTTTGCTTATTTCAAATGTTCGCCCCAAGAGGACTCCAGGCAGCTGGGGGCAGTGGACTACAAGGGGAAAGGCACACTGTGTAACCAGGTCACTTGTGAAAGAACTCACCACAAAGACACGGTGATCTCATCTAACACCAGGACCCAGCTCAGCAAGCTAGTCTCTCTAGGTGGGGCGTGGGGGGGAAGAGAGAAAGAGGCTCCTCCAAAGGGCTTCTCAGACAGAAGCCTATACCCCCAAGGAAATTCCTCTCCTTTTACAAGGATTACAAAGGAAGCCTAAGCAAATTATCTGTCAAATCTACCTAACTAAAGCAGGCACCTAGAGCTGGATGGTGTGAACACCTCCTTCACCATGACACTATACCCTGTAGGATATCTACAAGAAAAAGGCAGTTGCTTTAGCTGCAGAAAAAGAGTTTGACCTAGTTAAAAACAGGAGTGAAATTTTGTTGGGAACGTTCTCAAGACCTATATTCTAAGGACTACTAGCCTGTCTGGACTAACTACCCCAAAAAGGCTGGAGTCATAAGGCAGAAGTCCACTGCCTTATTTGTACCTGGAAGAGTAATATTCTTCTTCTAGCTCGTACAGGTCAATGGAGATCTCATCCCGCAGTGCAATCAACTTCTTGTCACATTCCTCCTGCAAGCTTCTCAGCTGCTGGTTGCGCTGGTTGATAGCTTCATTCACAGAGGGGAAATCATTGAGGATCAAGAACTGCTTCAGGTCAGACACAAGTTTCATCAGGGACTCACCAGCGCGGACCTTGTAGCAGGGAGAAAGACCACACAGCACATAATATATCAGCACAGCGCTTTGCTCCAATTCCAAAACAAGATCTGCCAAGCTGCTCCTTCAGCCCAAGCCTTGAATAAAGTAGAAGCTCCCACATTACATGAGGATTCTGACAGAAGCCTGTAGCTGACATGCCAAGCTACTCAGCCTACCCCCTAGAGAAAGAATTCACCCAACAGCCACCCCAAATATCAGGTTACTCTTCTAGCAGCAGTCCTCATGAGCGTTATAAAGGCTGCCCTAGATGCAATAATGACCACAACAGTACCTGAAGGATGTGCTACCCACTGATTTGAACAGCTGATGCTACTCACTATGTTTGCAGCTCTGACATGCATCTCATAGTTATCTTGTTCGCCCTGGGTTGCTCGAGACACTTGAGTTTCATCCTCAATCTAAAGAAAAAAAGTATATGCATCCACCTTTACATACTAAAATCGTGATACACTATTAACGCGTTGTAAGGCACCTCATTTCAGTTCAGTCCACACCTGGAATCTCCGGGGCGGCCCCTGGACTCTACGGCACCCACGGATCATCTCTGCTACCCTCCCTGCTTGCTTTTGCGGTTCTCCCCCGCTCAGCAACACCGCTCGGCTGCCCGCAGAGCGGAGGGGAGGCCAGCAGCAGCCGGGGAGAATGGAGCACCGCCCGCCCCGACGAACGGACCCTCTGCCCCCCCGGCCCCCCGCGGGGGGAGCGGGGGAAAACTC